CATACGATTAGAGTTCGCGAATATGCCGCCTTTCACCGTAGGTTTTACAATGTAACCCGAGGGCTCATTTTGGTTGCTGTCCTGTGCGGAGTGAGATCAAAGCAGGTCAAGCATCGCTTACCGTCAACCGTCAATTGTGCGTTCAAAAACAGTCAGTCAGAGCTCTGGATTTACCATGACCAGTCGTAAACGCTAGAGTGACATAAAGCCGGTTATCAAACGAGGGTCAACTCGTTTATGTATTTGACTCATTCGACAGTACAAATGACATTTATAGAATGATTTTAACTCTCATATACCCCTTACTGTATTCTCCATGGTATCTACACACAGGCATACAAACACAGACATTATATAAGTATTTTTTCTATTTCCGTGAGTTGTAACTTTTGACCTATAAAAGAGTGCTGTATTTGGCTAGTAAACGATGCACCGAAAACGAGGTTGTTTGCCAAATTGACTTCTTAATGCAGTGCACGGGTGCGTTCCAGTATCTCGGATAGCCCGGTTAGGGGTTCTCGTGAGCTATGGTGATGAACAGTGGTACACATAATGGGACACACAAATGATGGTCGACGTAGGCATGAGAAAAAAAGACAACGGACATTTACATGAGTTGCTACACGGTATAGGGGGAACCTGTGGTGATCGTGCGACGAGTACGCCCGCGCCACGATACAGTGTCCAAGTAACCAATCAGGAAACGAACGGGTTTAGCGAACAAACCTGTGGTCTCAAGTGGCACTAACCGGATTGGTTGAATGAAAGATGGCACACCAGTGGATTGGACAGGAAAGAATTGACCAATGATTATTTGATGCTTGTGATGTTTATTTACATGATTTTTCTGAATGGAATTAACTATATCCACAACTCGTCTTAGTTCTACCTGACTTTGCGCTCGCTATTCAGTGGGGTTTTCAGTCCGAATCCGAGTTCGTGCTATTCGATTTCGATTCCTATTCCGAATATTACAAAACCATACACCAGTTCATTGACCCACATTGGGCCTCATCTGTGTACACAAACATCACTCGCCCGAGCCAGCTCGCATATGGTATTCGGCGAGTGACAAATCAAGCCCCTCTTCGTTTTCACTTTACGACCTCACTCTTGAAGTATATAGATCAGGCACTAACATTCCCACATTCCACCGTGAGTTGTCAAAGTTTCATATCTTGACTGGGGTTTGCTACCAGAAGTACCGAACCCGAAAATCAGGTTCTTGCCGAAAGCCTACATGTGCTTCATGCACTTCAGCGAAAAAGACTACTGATAAAATATGGTTGCGAAAATATCATTTCACTTCTTTCAAATGTCACATACTTAGAAAGGTCAATACTATAGTATGAACAAAGAAATCTTGTCTAGGAAATCATGTTTAAAATAGAAAACGGTCCGCTCAAAACATATATCGAACAATACGTACGGTACTAAAGTTACATAGGCAAAATTTTGTGCGCGGTTGATTCTACAATGGACTGCCAACATATACTAGATTATTTCAATGCTGCGCATCGGAATTGTAAATTCACCATTGAAAATGACGCAAACAATAAGCTAGCGTATCTGAATGTCCGTTTCACTAGTCTTGATGACGGGTCGATGAGATGATCAGTTCATAGGAAATTGACGTGGGTTGAGCAATACATTCGTTTCCGTAGCTTTGTACCACTAAGTATGCAGAAGAACCTCATACGCTGTTTGGCCAATAGAGCTACAAGAATTTACACGAAGGACATGCTGATTGAAGAACTCCAAAATGTGTGGAATATCTTCATCCAGGATGGATTCCCGGAGCGTTTAGTGGAATCCGTGATGCAAACACAAGAGGCGTTTCCCAAGAGAATCTTGATGAGAGGTTGTGCATAGAAGAATATCAAATGCCATCAATAAAGTTTCACAGTGAACTGGATCATAGGAATAGAAGAAACTCGGCTAATAATCGATAGACTTTGAAATCCTGTTTAAGCACTCCAGGAAATATAACCGGGGAACAGTAAAGTAAGATGAGGGAAACACCGTTAAAAAAAGCTAGAAATAACTGATTGGGAAGGGTGAAACTGCCTGAGCTTTCGAATTTGAAATGATAAGCGCCAAGGTTACACCAAGATATCTGACAAAGTTTACCCTAGATAAAGGATTGTTATTCAACACTGTGGCTAGCTATTAAACAAAGGCAATACCGAATGTGCACAGTGTCTGGTGTGGCGAAGACGTCAGATAGCGTAATTTGATTCCCCCGTGTTTTACCGAAGTTCGTGCATGTTCAAATGCCAATATTCTGCATCAATTGATGTTAAAAACGATGTAAAATGTCACAGAGTTCCATAGATGATGCACATTTCACCGGTATTCAGGTGCGATTTTTTGGAGCCCAAAAGTAAAACGATATATCCCCTGGGTTGGATGGCAGTTCTAGCAATGGTTGGCACGGGTAGTAAGGT